GCTGTTCACAGGGATGCGTTCAAATTTAGTCAGTAATTTGAGGAACTGGCGAAATGGCGAACGCAGAGAAAGTTGAGCTCGAAAATCCTCCAGCATCATTGTAAAAATGATTTACGCGGCTGGCAATACATCAAACTTGCACACTCATTTGATAAGGCATCACCCGAACGTGAATGTCACCAGTACCAAAAGAAAAAAGACTGAAGTGCAAACCCAACTCCCACTAGCATTTAAGCCTCCACCACTCGCAAAAAGTTCAGACCGAGCCAAAGCTATTACAAATGCCAAATGTCCTTATGTTGCCATGTTAGCAAAGCGCTACCTGGCTGTATCTGCCACCTCTGTCCCTAGCAAGAGGGTGTTCTCCACAGCAGGAGACATTGTTAGTGCCAGCAGATCTGCCCTTTCGGCAAGCAATGTGGACAAGTTCATTTTTCTTTAAAAAAACATGAAAATACAATGACAAGCAAGTCATAATGTCAAACTGGCTGCTTAGGTACTAGTACAGTACAGTTCAAATACAGATTATTTCAGTTCATCGAAATGCTGCACCTTAATGTTTATTTTATTATATTTTGTATTTATTTGAGAGAATATTCACAGTTTAACAATAATTTAAAAAAATATATATATATGTTGTGTTTTGTGATCATTTTTTCTGCTGTACCGAAAACGTACCGAACCGTGAGCAAAAGACCAAGGTACGTACCGAACCGAAATGTTTGTGAACCGTTACACCCCTACTTTACATGTAATCGCCCCACGTGTGAACGCATCATTACATACAGATTCCATCACAACACACCTCGTCTTCAATGCTTTCGTTGTCTTCAATGTACTTGCTGAAGTCGACGGCTGGAGACCAGATGTTGTTTTGACTGTACAGACTGCTGCTGGTCTGCTCTCCATCCTTATGCTTGGTGATGGCAACCTTATACCTGGTGATTGACAAAAAGGTGCAGAGAAGCAGGAGAGGCTTTAGATAGCAGAAGCATGCCTTGTGGATCATAGGGGGCTTCAACCGCAATACAAGAACATTGCTATGGACCAGATCCACAGATTAAGTTCTATGAAAAAGAACAGGTTTGATGCTAAATTGTGGAGTTCATGGCATCTACTCTATTATTGTTAAGATTAAGGAAAAATCAAGATTACGGTTAATGAAGAGACTAACTTAACATGATGGGACATGCCGCATAAAAGTATCACATGCTAGGTATCCATTCAACATCCTGTTTTCCACAACTATACTTTTTACATTGCTATATTAAGAGCATAACCCTAATTGTGTTATTAGGAATGCATTTCTTTTTAAATATACACTTTGTGGCTGTGTCTGGTCTCACCTTGCCCAGGACATGGCCCTCTCCTCGTCCTGGCTCTCGGGGAGATGGTCCCCTGTGAAGCTGAACACCTGCAGCCTGTAGGAGCGCTGGTGGCCCCAGCGGTTGGTCTTGTTGCTGGAGATGTGGAGGTAGCGCGGAGTCTTGGTGTCGTAACGCAGCGCTGCCTCCTGTTATGAGACACAGTACACATTATTCCTACAGTTAGGGGGACCAGGTGCCAACAAGCCACATGTGGGACAAATAGGACGTTTTTGCGGGACAATGTGGGACATGTTACTGCGTTACTGACAGCTAGATTAGAGGTTTGTATAATGTCTATATAACCCTTAAGAAGAACATAAATATTAAAGGGGACCTATCATGCAAAATGCACTTTTTGATGTCTGTTATACATAAATATTTGTCCCCGGTGTGTCGGGGAACTCACACAGCGTCAGAAAATAAAACCTTCTCTCTTTTCCTCTGTACCCAAATCTCTAAAAACAGGGCTACAATGGAGCTGATCCAGATTTGCGTCCGATATGATGTAATATCGGAAATGTACACCCACGGCCCTATCAGAAACGTTGCAATCAGAAACAATGCCCTACTGTTTTGGACGTAATATGGTCGGTGCATGTTTACATTGCATCGCTAACACTCATAGTGTATTTGAAATAGGATTCTTGAATCAATCTAACGCATCACACTAAAGTGAGATATGTTGACCCCTTTAATATCGTATTACCAAAAAAACTAAATAACTAGACGTTTTACGATTAGGAGGGATAGTTAAAGGGATGTAGTCAAAGTCCCGTAGTGTGACGGACTGTCAGAGGTAACCTGAAGGTATACACACAATGATGGCCCACTGTACTTTTATCTTGTAGGGGATGCCGATGTAATCCGACGACCGCGAGTATGTTGTAGTACTGTAAATTCCCTGCCCTAGTAGATATTAGCAAAGCCAACTGTTAGGTTGCTTCGTCCAGTCATTGGTAGTCTCTCTGTCATCGAGACCATAAACAGTGATAAATATAAGTAACTATTTGCATATGAAATTGTATTAATAGATTCGCTAATGTTGTGTGTGTCTGAGTAGGTAATTTTTATTACGTTACATACGTAAGGACTTATATTCTCGATATTATTGTGAGAAGTTTGTGAGGTATGTCCGTTCCTCATATGTCTTTTCTTCTTTATTGTTCAGTGCTAATTTTTACAAATTCGTACTGGTTGCTCATGTCGATTGAGGTATCTTTAATATCATGTGTTGAATAAATGTCTATTCCTTTGTTAAGGCTTTTATATAAGTGTGTGTTAAGAGTGTACTCACCTTGAACAGTTGGCGTACCTCATTCCATTATCATAACTACGACTAAATAATGTTACTTACGAAGAGAATCCATCGGGTATAACAACGTTGTCTGGTCAGCAACTGACATCCTATCACCCCTGTCCACAGCGAAACACGCCCCTTGGACGTGTCGTTAAAACTAGTAAACCATGGGTGTGAAAACGCTATCAGGAGGACGGCCGTGGACAAATCTAACTTCAGCCGACCTGGCAGATTTATTCCGATAAAATGTTTCCACACGTCTTTGCTCTCTGATAGTAGTGGAAATCGACATAGTCGGTACAGTTTAGTTAGTTGTCCTTTACCATAATTCGAATACCCATGTCCGCGGCGCGGGAGGATTCGTCGGCAGTCTCACACACCCGACGTAGAATCGCGTTCTACCGGTCGCGTTAATTCGCGTCTGTCAAAAGGGGCTATCACATCCGGAGGGTCCAGCAGTACTTGTTAGTGCTCTGGACGGAGGATTGATGAGAGGGAAAGCTCAATAAACCTAATTATAATTTAGAGAGGACTCTTGGTTCTATCACTCCATTGTCGTTCCGACTATAAATCAATGCAAACCTAATGTCCACGTCGTCTGGATAATTAATCGTTGTGTATTCCGAGTCAATTAATAATTTTCCTAATAAAAAAACATAAAATTACGACATTCAAAACTATACTACTGTCATTTAATGAGTACTATAACAACAATACAAAGCATTATCAAATTGAATGTCCCCACAAAACCCTCGTATATTACATTAGAATTTGTACAGATAGTTTGTTCTCAAACGGAGTTTTTAGGGTTTGTCTGTGGCTAGTAGAGCTATATCGAGTAACCGGAAGTAATTAGGGTCAAGCGTAACAGTGAAGGACCAAAGTTTCAAACGACTCAACACCCCATATATTCAGTAAATTTTTTTACTTTTGCTCCTCCTTCCCGACTCGTAGTGCGCCATGACTCCTAAATAGGCGTCTATCGGATGACAGATTTGGTCACCAGCATTGGTAAAAACTATATTCCCGTGGTATATTTATTTTTTTTTTTTAGACTCCACCTTATCGTTGACCCTCCCAGCCCCCCTCGGAGCGACGTCCCCTTCGACACCTGGAGACAACGGACAGTCGAGCGTTTGATATTGTATATCTGTCAAATTTTGTGTCATTTATTTATTTTCACCTCCGCCGCCCGGCGGTGCGGTTCGTTGGGGCTGCGGCCCAGCTATTTGTCGGACGACCGCTGACGAGCCAAGCGACCGGCCGGCTGATGACAACTAGAGGTCTTGTGGTCAACCGGTCAGGCGGAGGAACCAGTCCGTATAATACTAAAGCTACTCGTCTAGCGGTGACCCGTAGTGATTGTCTGTTGGTCGGTTGTTTTTGACGCCGTTCATGTCGGGAATACCCATGACGTCATCGACCCACTTCACCGAGGGGTGGGGACAAGCAAAGTCGGTACCCTCCTTTCGTCGTCTTTCAGCTGGACCTCAACGTTCTCTCGCCCCGGATATTCCAATAAGAACGACGCGACGCAACACACCGTACGCGAAGAAGCGACGTCCCCCTCTCTGGCGAGCCGGTCGGGCAGAGCAAGTCGCTAGAGCGTTTTTATGTTAAATTTATAAAACGTGTGAATAGGATCACACCCGGTGACACAATGCCACGGTCGCCGGGTTACCACCGTGCGCACGGTCGCCCAACCGGGCTGCGGGGACCAGATTCTTGAGTTTATGAGCGCCACTACTTTGACCGGTATAGTACCTAATAGTTCCTATAGAGACTTTGTCATTACCTCGATTTCCGAAGACGAGGAACGGCCGATATGGTCGTTCCAGCTCAAGGAAACTAAAGGACGAAGAAGGTTGGTGTTTACGAGACACGTCGT